GTCACTGTTGTCTGGGTTCGAGCAACGTCTTGCCTACAGCTCCATCTGATCGGTTGTGCATCAGGAGAAACAGCCAAACAACTCTGAAAGATAATTGTTGAATTGTTCTCTTTTAATTAAACAACATGTGAGACAACAAATTTGAAAAAAAGGGCACATCCACTAAGTGTTGTGTTTGTAGTATTCTAAATTCTGAAACATGGATTTTCATTTTAACTGCAATTGTTTATCAGTTCCAAATACTGGATATCAGCCTCCTTGGCTACTAATAATCAATATCAGTATGAGCCCTGAATAAACCATATGGTCAATCCCTAAATGGAGCCACACTGAGAACATCCAGGTCAGAGGTCAGAGTCAAGCACAGAACACAGACTCTGGAGCTGGGACCTGGTTCAAAAACACTGCAGCATGATGGATGATCTCCAGTCATTCTCAGCCCTGGTTAAAAGGCTGCTTTCTGCACCCACTGGGTGATGGGTGATGGGTGTCAGGGAGGCTCACTCACCGTGCAGGATCTTCTCTGGATGGTGATCGGTGCAACAGTTGGGCTGCTGGGGCTGAAACTCTGCACCCAGGGTGGGCTCCTTCCCCTTGCTGCCCTTCCTCTGACGCAGGGCTGTCATGTTTTCAGCAGACTGAGGGGGGAGTGTGTGTGTGTGTGTGTGAGTGTGTCTGATTATCCACACAGATATGGCAAACGATTCAACATGTGAAGACTAAAACACACGCAAACGGGCAAACTGCGTCGTTGTGCTGCGACTTGAGCCAAAGCCAAGCTGCATGCACCACTGTTTGCTCTGACAGATGGCTAGACAGGCCTGCTTACGGCGGCATTTCCTGTTCACGTTGCTGCCAGAATAACATCAGATGCACCTATCGACACCAATTACCGCAAAAACTACATGAAGCCAGCGCGTTTCAACAGAAGGACACGCTAAAGCAAACAACACAGCCTCTAACAGATCATCACCGGGGATGTTAGTAGTGATCCGATTCAGTGATGCAGAATACGGTAAAGTAGGATCTGGTAGGTTTAAACTCCTATTGTGTAGCGTTGACACACAGCTACAGCCGGATTTTAATGAATGGGCATTTTACATAAAGGCGCGCTCCCGTTATGGACGCCAGAGTTTCTGTCTGTGTTGACAAAGACGAGACGGTGTGAGCCGTGTAAAGCCTCACCCTGCTCCCCAGGACGCTCCGGCAGCTCTCCTCCACCTCCCTCTCTCTCTCACTCCTTCTCTACGCCTTCTCTAGCTCCCTCGCTCTTTCATTTTCCTCTCCTCTTTTTCCTCCCCCGGTAACGTTGATCGGTCAGCTTCGTGCCGCACCGGGTTTAACCGAGGGACAACATCGGAACACGAGAGGGCCTGCCTTCAAAATAAAAGCGCGACAATGTCACTTTTGAAAAGGAGTTTTAAGTTGACACGCACAGGAGGACAGGGATGATCTCTCTGGAGGTGTTAGAAAATGTCTTCATCCACACCATCAGTATGGGTTTTAGACATATAAATCTAGCATTTTAGCATAAATGGATACAATTAAAGACATTACAGCATCAATAGAGAGTAAGATATGTGTATTAGGAGTATTTACTGACTTGCAATGCACCCGACCACAACACCTAAACCCTAAACACGATGGACCCACAGATCCAGACTTGGCCACCACATGCTCATCACTGAGGTGGCCTGGCTCTAAAAGGTTGCTCCGGTCACCTTATTCCAGTCAAGGTGCTGCTGCTCCTTTTCACCAAATCACTGCAGTCTTTGATTTGTGAACCTCAGAGCCACATCATCTGCAAAAAGCGGAAACCTGGTTCTCTTGGCTTCAACAGATCATAACCTTCAGTGAGCTGAGTGTGATGCAGCCAGAATAGGAGTCAGCACTTCCATAATCTGACTCACTGGATGTAAGGTGCAGGTATAATCCTGCCATTGGCTGCTGATTTCAGGCAGTTTTGTACGCTGCTTCCGCTGTCTTCCTGTTGTTGTTTTCTTTGCTACGGGCAACAACAACAACAACCACTTCTGGACTAGTAACGTACCACAGTGATAATCTCAGGTTTTGCACAGGATTTGGCTTATGCAATAAAGCAGCCCATTTTTTTGGGTGGATTAGCCGTTTTAATCCCAATGCTTGTCTCCCTACGTGCAAATATTTCCACCTGTCACTATTTTGAGAGAACTCTGAAGTCACATCCTTCATTTAGCCCTGCCCTCGACGAGTGGCATTGGTTTAAAGAAGTACAAAGGAGGTGCAGCCAGACCATTTTGTTCTAGAGTGGGCTGCCAAAGCAAGACTAGCACCTCCAAGTCTGAGGCCATGGTTCTCTGCCAAAATAATGGATTGCTCCCTCTGGGTTGAAGGTGAGTTGCTGCCTGCAGCTAAGGAGTTTAAGTATCTCAGGATCTTGTTCATGAGTGATGGGAAAATGGAGCATGAGACGGACATACGGTTTGGTACAGCATCACCAATAATGTGGGTCAATAATATATAATCTTTAAAATGGTGCAAACTCTGTGTAAACATTTTCTGGTTGGTGGGTGGTAGTGCTGTTAAAATGCACTTGAATGGGAACAATGACTGTCGAGAAATAGTTCTGGATAAAAGTTCTTCCAGACAAGCTGCAGTTACTGGATGTAACTCTCGCTCTACAAGTACATATGCAGCCCTCAAGCAGTCTTCACTTCTGGTTGTGAGGTGGGCCAGAGTCTGGCTCCACCTCTGAGTGTTTGTTTCAGAAAGCCACATCTAGAAGTTCAACATTCATGGAAGTAATTGCAACAGCAATAAATAGTAAGAAATACCAAAAGACAATATTTATTGGCAAAATAATGCCTGAAAATACAAAGAATATGTTTGTTTTACTGCCATAGGGTGAAGACCACAGAAGGCAATTTGATTTTGAGCACCAGTGTGCACAGAATATTACTTCAAAGCACATGTGTATTAGACTATATAGCATCAAACTGTGGAATTGTCAGATATTTTTCAGTTAAAGAAAATGTAGAGAGAAATAATAATCATATGATATGAATGTGAAACATCAGCAGTTTTTAGTTGTGTTACATTTCTTACGTTACTTTTAATGGTTGAACATATATTAACAGAAGCTGACAGATTTTCTTTTTTATCTATCTCTTGAGTAAGGGGCAAGTAATAAATTTTGTTTTTTTTTCTCTTGCTCCTTTTGCTCATACAAGAAAATGAAATTACTTTGTTTACGGATCACCTCTTGTTCAGGAACTGTGCATTGACATGACAGGAACAAGTACAATTGAACTGAAATGACCTACAGCATAAGAGAGCTGGAGAGGACTGGAGTCTTACTGGCTCAGGTGGTAGAGCGGCTGTTCTCTAATCACAAGGTTGGTGGTTTGATCCCCCGCCACTCCACAGTCAAAGTGTCCTTGGGCAAGACACTGAACCCAAAGTTGCCCCCAATCGCAGGCAAGCACATTGCATGGCAGCTCTGTCACCACTGGTGTATGAATGTGTGTGTGAATGAGAAAACATTGTGAAGCGCTGTGTAAGTGCAGCCCATTTACCAAGCTACATGGCATCAGTGAAACACAGACACAGTTTTGGTTGTTTGTTTGCCTTTCGTGGGGATACCTGATAATTTAGCAGAAACGGAGGACAAAAAGAAGAGAAATAGCCAGACTTGTTAATGCTAAGAGGGATATCTTTAATCTCAGCAGAAGAGATATTAAGGCAGTCAAAATTAATTTCAATTTTGTTTTTCTCAGCTAAGTATCTCCAGATGTGCTCTGTAAAGTAATGGAAGATTTGGAAACAATGCTGCATTAGAAAAATCTTTTATATTTATTTTGAAACCAAAAGCCTAATTTTTCAAGTTCATTAAGCCTGATGAACATGCAGAGATCAGACATTTCCTACAGCAGTCATTGTCATAGCATAACATGAATCATGTCCCAGCTTCATCAAGAGGCAGTTTCCAGACATGGATTAGGTTTTGACTAAAAGAAAACTTCAATGGAGATCTATGATGTGAAAATGTCTGCTAAGAAAAAGCTATCATCTGAGTTTTTTTTTTTTCTATCGTAGCTCATTGTTTTGCTTTGCAAATTTACACTGTTTGGTTTACTGCTCATCGACCACATTCACGGCAGCTATTTGCAGTAAAACTCAAACTATGTGTGCTACTGTGTCTATCCAGCACCAAACAACAAATGTTAGCAACTTACAAATAAAGAAAATGGAGAGTCTAGCAGGTAAACAGCCCAGTATTTTTTCCTACAGAAGCAGGAGAAGAACAAAACAGAACTAAAAGTAGGTGAATATTAGGCTTATATCTATCAGGTGTTTGTATACTTCAAAAAATTCTAATGTTCCTCTGTTGGGTGTGTAAATATGCAAACATCTGTCATCAAACCAACATTAGGCAGAGCACACACAAGGCCATGTGTCTGTCAGGATATTTTGGAGCATTTCTGGGCCAAAGTAGTACTTAACTTTAACCGCTAAATTTCACCTTTACATCTTAACATAGAGAGATACAACAACAAGATATTCAACATTAAGTGGTATTCTTTTTTCCTTCCATATATAGGCCAAATAGAGAAGTGATGAAAGTGTCATGCAGAGGAAGGGTTCTCGCCATCAATTTGAGTTACTTTGACTCTATGGCGCAGACAACTTGTGAAAACTCCAACACCACATCTGTAGGGCGGATTGTCCCCTGGTCGCAAGGGTGGCGGTTCAATCCCCTGCATGCCAAAGTGTCCTTGGGTAAGGCAGGACACTGAACCCCGAGTTGCTCCCAATGGCAGGCAGTCACCTTGCATGGCAGCTCATTGGTGTGTTAATGTGTGTGAACAGGTGAATGAGTAATTATAAAGGTAAATATAAAGCACTTTGAGTAACACAAAGGTAGAACGTGAATAATGTAGAAAGGCACCATATAAGTACATTTGCATGCTTGTGGATACATCGTGGTTGTACCTGGGACTAGTCGAGCAGTCACAGATGGCAAACCAGACTCAGCATTTTATGAGTCTGTTTTATGGGGTCTGAAGACTACACGACATGATCGTCGGCCATCAAACTAGAGATGTGGGTCTTTGTGGAACTGTTGCTTTACAGTTTCCAAGCTACTGCTCAGATGGGTACTCTCTACTGGGGGATCCAATAAACAGTTTTCAGACTTAAATGGACACACTGAATGCCAAGCAAAGTGTTTTGTTGGTGATTTGCAGGAGAATCCTCTGGCTCCACTAGTATTAAGGCGTCAGAACACACTTGCTCTTTGACATGGTAGAAATTAGGCCTCTGACGTAAAACAACAATAATATACATAGATACTTCATCAATATCCATAACAAAATGGATAAATAGAATGTTTGATACTTTCACTTAAATGCATTGGACATAAACTGCCATAAAAGCACATAAAACTTTGGTTGCATTAAAAAAAAAAAAAAAAAAAGCCAAGCGAGCTGCCTTCCTGGCTCAGAACAGTTAGTCATATCTTGGAAATGGAGCCTCATCATCCTCTGATTAGCCATGGCCCTGAGTCCCCCATGACCTCCATCTAGCTGATGCACTCCTTGCAGCCTGCTTCAAGGGCTAACAGACTTCACGTTAGACTGCAAGCAGA